CTCTCTCTGTGTCTGTGTCTCTAGTTTTAGTAGAGGTTTTACGGCGCTCGCAACTTCATAAGGTCATATGAGCGACAGAAGATTAGAGGCGTTCACAGAATTCTAAGTGTAGAATTTTGTGGAGGTGTTATAAGAGAGTAACACAAATAAAAAAGAGGAAGGGGAGAAAAGGACGATAGATGATTGATAGTAAAGAAGAAGCAAACCACACCAGAGCACCCGCCAACTACCTACTCTGTCTCTCTCTCTCTCTCTCTCTCTCTCTCTCTCTCTCTCTCTCTCTCTCTCTCTCTCTCTCTCTCTCTCTTTTGGGGAAAAACTTGCGACTTCAAAGAGTTAAACCTCTACTAAAACGAAACTAAAGAGTGTGAAACAGGGATGTCCTACATGTATTATCAATATATAAGGGTGAAATTGTGGCAATCTTAATTAATCTTATAGTTGTATTTTGATATCAAAGACTGCAATCTGACGCAGTTTTGGTTCAGTACGGAACGAACCATTTTATTTTGTTTGATCCATGCGACGTGGGAAACTGTGCCACCACTTTCCGTACGCTTTACATAGCAGTCTGTCAAAATCATTTTTTGAGAAATACTGAAAGTTTTAAAGAGATCTTCGTACTAGAAGTGTTCTAGAATGTGAAGAATACAACCCCGGGGGTACAAAATGACCCTAGGGCGTACGGATAGGGTTTAACAGGGTCCTTACCCGCCCGTGGTTTCTAACCAAAGGGGAGTAAATCTGTATTAACAGAATCCTAATAAATAAAAAGCTGTCTACTTCCCCTGAATTTGTATTTTTCAAAGCCATGGCGTTGGTTGTTTTGTTCGTGAATGGAAGTGCATTTTTTGTAGACAAAATGTATATTTCTTTCTTTTTACTTTACTTTACTTATCTTTTAGTCCAGATGACAGTTAGGGCACCAAGGATGACCGGGCACCACTTTTCTCCATCCTTTTCTGTTAATTCAGCCTTTCAAAAGGCTTCACACAACTTTAATTTTGTTCATTGCTTTAATGTCTTCCCATCTTTTTTTGTCTGCTTTTCCTTCTCGCTCCTAGTTCATTGCCCTACAGGATCATCTTTGCAAGTCCTGTTCTTATTATGTGCCCATACCATCTCAGTTTGCTTTATCAGTGAAAAGGAATAAGCCTACAGGCCAGTACTTCTTCATTTTCAATAGTGGATTCTAAAAAAAGTAGATCTAAGCTACTATTCCTTCCAGAGATGTCAAAATCATGATGATGACGACAATAACGATTACCCCTTAACTGCTTTATTATGGTACCATGTTCCTCATATTTGGCCTTGAATGTTTTGTTATTAGGCCTAGGGCCATTAATTTTGTATTTATTAATTAGGGGAGGTTAGAACGTGATCATTGCTTCCCAATAAAGATTTCAAAGTAGCCTCCCCTGAAAAGAATGTTTCTCTACTCGAGTTCGGAACTCTTCAATGTGTGCCCAGCCCCCAGAGAGATTCTCCTTGCGGTCTCGAAGTCCTGTTCTGCAGTGTTGATTTCTGAAACTTGTGTTTGTTTTGCAGTTTCTACAACTGTTGCAGTGGTGATGCTTCGCTGTGAATAGGATACTGTTCTTATTTACCATTGGATATACTTTACTCAAGCAATGTCTTTGAAGGTAAGGAGATTGTTAGTTAGACTCTAAAACCTCTGGCTTGATTTTTGATAGAAGAGATAGAAATCTTGGATCTCTACACTACACTCACTGCAAGACAGCAGTGACTGTGACTGTGTAGATCTAGGCCTAGACTAGACATTACTAGACAACAGTGCAGTAGTGACAGTACAGATGCACTCGGTGCAATGCTGTGAGACTGGTAAGTCGGTCGATGCCTTTCGATGTCTTTCTCTGGCTTCTGGTTCATTCAATGCATGTGTGTAAGACCTAGAATCTAGTCCCATCAACAGTTGGGTCTTACATCCCAAGGGTTAGGGTTAAGATCTGGATCTAATCTAGATTATATTAGATCTAGATCTAGATCTAGATCTAGATTCTAGATCTAGATCTAGATCTAGATCAGATCTAGAGATAGATAATATAGATCAGCAGGTCTCTTCTGTATATTTGATTTTGGGGTGTTCGCTGGTAACCGTAATGGAAGCCCTCCCGACTCTAGATTCTATATCTAGATTCTGGTTTTTCGTGGTAAAGTTTAGACTTTGTGTTCTCAGCTCTTGACCTGGACAAGATGCCCCAGCTGGTTCCACCAGCCATCAGCCCCATCGACTATACTATAGATCTAGATCTAGATCCAGATATCTAGATCTAGATCTAGATCTAGACTCTAGATCTATCTAGTGCAGTCAAAAATTTGTGCCGGCCGCAGCAACTTAAATCCTAAAAGTATCTTTTTAACAGTTGAAGCATTGTCACCCATAGTGCCCATACTTGCACAGCTGTTTGCATCAATTTGTTTTTAAAACTTAGAAGTCATATTTTTCCACAACAATTGAGGCTAGATCTTAGATCTCTATTAGATCTAGATCTAGATCTTGAGATTCTAGATTAAAAAACTTTTCTTCTTCAAATGAAAATGGAATTGTTCACAGCACTTCCCGCTTTTCACACACATTTTGCATATTACACGTACACATGCATATATGAAGGGTGCTAGGCCTAGGGGAAAACCAACGATGTCAATTTTTTGGAGAAAATGAGCGTTTCATGGCCTTTTTTAGTCTTGACCTAGCCCTGTGTTTTCATCATGTGGAGAAATCTTAAGACCATCATAGTCTGTCTAAATGCTGGCAAGAAAAAGGTCACAAGGGGAAAACCAACAAATCCAATGAGTACAAAAAACTAGAGATCAGGGTGGAGTATCTGAGACTTGTTTCCCCCCTGTCTACCCTGATGAGCAATCAGCTGTCGTTTTGAGGTCATGTGATGCTGCTTTGTTTACACGCATTTCAAAACGGTATAGCAACCAGATGTGACAGTAAACTCAAATTTTTATATATTTTTTAAACATTCAAAATTAGAGAAAACGGGAAATTACTGTTCAAGTACAAAGAATATCAGCGCACATGATCCGTTTGCCCTGGAAAGAACTAATTAAATGTTTTAATGTGACTACTGATGATGAAAAATCTGCTTTATTAGCATGATTTCAATAGTCTCAGTCACAAATGCCAGCAATACAGCATACACTTGCGTCACTGATTCAGTGGACAAGATCAAAACCAGACGTCCTCGCCAGACTGTTTTATAATGAAGCGAAATCCCATCGTTATACTCCATCAGGGTGGAAAGACGTAGAGCTGCTATTACAGTCCCCATCTGCTTCCCTGCACTTCTGTCAGTATCTGATGACCAAGGCCGTCAATTTCTCGATGGTTTTACACATGATAAATTGGAAATCTTCATATGCCTTACTTTGTAAAAAAAACCCCATTGGAATAGCCAATGAACCGTAAAAAGATCTTTCAGCATTTCAACGCCCCTCTCTATTAACATTATGATGATGAACATTCGTTGTTCCTCTGGTCAGCTATTAAACCAAATTGCATTTAAAACCTCGGGTCTTATCTTGTTACTCATTCCTTTGTGTGATATTTTTCTCTTCTTCTTTGCGTTCCCCTGCCTATATCAAGAGTAGTCGACTGCTGGTTCTTCGACCTGCAGGGTAAATGATTTTTACGTGTATACATGCGACCGTTTTCCAACTTAATAGGGCCCTAGCAGCCATATTCCGATTTCGAAGGTACTATGGTTTTATACTGACTAGAGTATTTTCAGTTTTGGTGGGAATTAATTTTGAATTTTGCCTACTCCATCGATTTTAGGACCACCAAGGGATCTTTAACATGCCCAACTTGCAAGCGGGATCTCCGAGAATTTTCGCCCTTCTCCGAGACTCCCACCCCCCCCCCCCCCCCCAAATAGACCCACCTCTATGTGGTGGTGGGAGGGGGGGGGGGGGATTTGTACTCTTCAAACAGGAAGAGAAAAAGAGGAAGCTAACGTGTCAAGGGGTGACCCCAAAAAGGGACACATGTGTATATTATATTACTTTACTGTATTTTACTCTTTTCCTATTGTTGTTTTATTTTATTTCATGTTATTATTATTTATATTATTGTTAAATTATTATCACTTTTCTTTTTTCCTCTCTCCATCGACTACCTGTCTTTGACCTGAAGTTGGGATGGGTTTTGGTGGGGTGGGAAGCACAGGTTCATTGTCAGCACTGTACTGGATGTGACTTAACTTAGACTTACATAGATAGGGAATACCCAGCTACATACATGTATTAAGCATGCATTTATCAGAGAGCCCTTCTATGACTGCGGAGAAGGTGCAGAGACCATTTGCATCTTGCTTGCTGACAACATTAACCCTCTGGGACTTGCCATGCCTTCTCCTGCCCCCATCTTTGGGGATGAAAGGACTTGGTTGCTCTGGGAGGGGGTGGGGGAATCCAACTTTCAATTAATTGTTTAAATTATTACTACTATTAAATTATTTATTTATTTTTATTGGACAGAGGTGTTTCAGCAACACACAGCAAAGTTCTCTATGCTCTTTAGCGTCTTTCCCTTCTTTATCTCCTCAAACAACTTCTCAATATAATGCAACAGACACCAACATACCCATTCATTTTTGTATATGATCTCTCTGTGATAGAATTGGGTCTTTGTTTGTTCTTGTGGCATTGCACCTACAGCCACTGCTTTTATCTCCTACCCTGGGATGGAAGGAAAATCACTGAACAACCAGTTTAAGATGCTATTCATAAATGACAGAATCCCATACGAGCTGAGACGCCGCCTCAGTAATCAAGGTCCTCTCCAGGTCTTAGTGGGCAACCAAGCTGGCCTGGTGGATTGTTATTGAAAGAAAAAGAAAATCAGAAAACAGAGAAAATGGAAAAATAAGAGAAAACACCCCCTACAACTTCTAATGGAAAAGAGAAGCTTATGGACTTCTATATTCTTCAAGCAAATTTCTATGGCTTGGAAAAGAAAAAAAAAAACCCACTATCGAGGAAAATTTTGTATGAGAAAGGAAAATCCACATTGCTCTATTACATGAAACTCTCCTTTCTTCCTGTGACATACACATCACTGGTATACCCCATATCCATGCAAATGTGAAGGTTGCCAAGGTATTTATAAACTATTATCTATATCAGAACATTTTCATTTTGAAATTTAAAGATTTAGGTCTTGAGAGATCAGTATGGAGTAATAAATCTGTAGTACTTAAGTACTGAACATGACCAAAGAAATAGAGTAGGTCTATAATGATAAACAGTCACAGGCAATTACTAGAATAATGATTACTAAGCAGGGCCTGAGAATTTTTTTTTCTCAAATATATGGTGACATTGTGGCAGGCCACAAACTGACTTCACAGACAGGATCTTGCAGCTGGCCATAGTTTGGTGACTCTGGGAACATAAGAAGAAAGTTTTAAAGTGACAGTTTTCAGACCGACAATGTCCCCATTTAAAAAAAAAAAGGGGCAGGCAGTTCAATCCTAATGGGATGTTCAATTATATTCTCTTTATTCATATAATATATATATACTATAATCATGGATAATCATATTATAAAAGGATACCAATTAACCAGTTCACTCTTTTAATGAATTCATAAGTCTTATAAATACCTTCAAAGAATTTTTTTTTGTTTTTCATTTCCCACCTGAATCTTAGGAGTTGAGTAAGTTGGCTCCTGCGGGAGGTTGGAGGGCACCTCTGGTAGGTCCTACTTCTTTACTTTCCCTCTGTTGTTTCTGTCTGTCTGTCTTACTTTTTCCAGCTAAATGACCATTATTATTGTTTCGAAGTGCTTCTCTTTACTAAAAGAAAAGAAACAGAAAAAAAGTTATTCTTTTATTTCCAGTTCAAAAGACTTCTCACATAATAACTGCCCGTTTTTTTTTTTACTACGTAAATGGCTTTGTAATTCAATTTCAGTGAAAAAATTTGACTCATTTTTTGTAAAACTCAATCTATTCCAAGAAATTAGAGTGCTTTTTTTGCGAGCATCGAACAAATCAATGGAAAATGAAACTACAGTGCAGCCTTTCTATGAGGACATCGTCGAGAACAGAAAAAAAACATGTCGTTATATAGATTTGTCGTTATAGAAAGGCAACGAAAAAATATATTATATAAAGAAAAAATCAGGTCGCTATTCAGTGGATGTCGTTGTATCGAAGGTCGTTATAGAGAGGCTGCACTGTAAGAGTTTGATTTTCATAATCGATCAAATTTTATATCTTTTGCTGTAGTAAACTAATTATTTCTTTTAACTTTTGAATTGCAGAAAGAAACTCCATCTGACCAGCAGCTGCATCTGGCTGCTCTGCAGGGTAACCTTGACCAGCTGAAAAAGACTCTGGATTCTGGACGTGTTCATGTGGATTGTAAAGACAAGGTAGGATCATGCCTGTTACAATAACTGAAAAATGTTGTTGAAAACATTTTTTCTATTTTGTAAAGCCGTTTTGGATGATGTCAGGATCATTTAGAATAATTATCACTACTGTGAAAAGATATCTGAGTATTGTATGTAGCAGGTAGTAACTGTAAACAGTCTGTGAAGAGCTTTCCAGAGTAAAAGAGTGATTATTTCTTGTATCTCTGTGAAGGTCTGTCACAGAGTCTTTCACATCTCTGCAGTTGAGTAACTTGCTTGGGCCTCAAGTTCTTCTCCTTCAAATGTCAAATCTGAAACAGACATCGACAATCATTGTTCGCCACTATTTTCTCTGCTTGGGGGCTCTCAAAAAAGCTATGTGTATCTAATGTTATATATATATATTTATTTTATCCCAGTCTTTTCCTGTCTCTCATTGACAGTTCAAACTCTCTAGAAATAAAATAATTTATTCTTGGTCTACCTCCGCCTGTTTTACCTTCTATTTTCCCAGTGAGAGCAAGGTCTTTTATTAATTGGGTTTAAGTGTCCTAGGAACTGTATTTTTGTCTCTTCCTGCTTTAAAAAGTAACTCGATCTATCCCGCTCCTGACTTCTTTCTTTCGTCTGCCTGTTCATTCCACATCCCTAAGACTCAGTGCACAGAGAGAGGATCTAAATTTCTTCCCTTCCGTATGGTTCTTTCTTTTTCAATTTTGTTATTTATATTATAACAAAGAACATAGCTTGTCAGTACACTTTTGTAAAGTAAATTTGTATAAGCCAGGTTTCATTGTTATCATCAGAACCTTGTTACCGTATCTATTTTTAAAAATAAAAGTATGCTCAGAAAACAGTAAAAGTAAAGTTTGTTGTGTGTACACCCCATTAGCGTTTGGTCAATTTAGTTCTGATAGAAACTGTATGATAACATTATGATGCTAAGTGATTAGAAGGGATCTCCACTTATGTACATCAAAATAAGACATTGGATTTGAAGTGCTTGCAAAGTGTTAGCTCTTTCGGTGACAATTCTACTCTTTTGAGTCAACCAGAGACTCAGCCAAACTAAGTGATAATGTGCCTTTATATCTCAACCAGAATGCTTCCCACAGTGACACAGTTAATTACAAAATTAGCCTTAATATCATGTCATTCTGATCAAAGGGGTCCATATTCAGCCTTCAAAGTGGCCCACATTGTGTTCAGAGGGTGGTGTAGGCCTACCTCAGTCCAGTCAAAATAGAAGCTTTATAAATGTATTTGGGTTTATAGATGATGAGCTCATTGCTTTCTCCTTTTCTTTGTTTTAACGAGGAACTGTGTACTGTACAAACACTCTCTAATCCTTTGTGTGTACAGGCTTAGGGTAGACGTTGGTGGGCTTTTGTCTAGATTGGGAACTAAGCCTTATATAAACAGAGATAAATCGGGGACGCGAGGATGTAGAATATATATATAAATACATGTATATGTATGCGTCCTTGCGTCCCTGTCTTACTTTTTCGCAGCTAAATGACCATTACTATTGTTTCGAAGTGCTTCTCTTTACTAAAAGAAAAGAAAAAGAAAAAAAAGTTGGTCTTTTATTTCCAGTTCAAAAGACTATTATATATATATTTGTGTGTGTGTGTTCTTTTTGACATTTTGCTTCGTGTGTGTTTCAAGAGCATCATTATGGATTTTTGTCAGCCCATTATGGTGCATAGGCCTATGCATTATTGTTCTAGTGATCACCTTAATCCTTATTTCTTCTACTTTGCGTAAGAATTGTATTCTCCTTTGCAAAATGTGTTGGTCACGAGACGAATTATACTGTTGCAAAAAAATGATCTTGTCCGTGTGGTTTAGCAACAACAAAAAATGTAATACAATACATACAGCAACACAGACCACACTTAAGTGGGGTATTTAATGTTGAGTGGAGGCGCTGTACTTTAATTGCCCACAGAGAAACACTCACACTACTCACAGTTTAGGCCATTCCCAAAGGGGGGATATAATGTTCTTATGTACAGTAGAATTGTAAATGGGCTGATTTATCAATGGCATGCTCATTATTACTCATACTGTGTCGGAACAACAATGAGGGTACTGTTGCTTTTTCTTTGCTCATCCTTACTATCGTCATTTTTCTCTTCGTCTTTTGTATGTTTGTCACTTCTGAACCGCTATTTCCCAGATGCCTTGATAGTCGAAGCTGACTTTGTGCTGTTGGGGCAAGTGAGGTGTTACAAGCCTGATTCCCCTTTTGGACTTCTCTGTTGACATCCACCCTTTGGCGCTCATATGACATATAAATACATATATATATAGTTTCGAGCGCAGTAAAACCTTTCTAAAACTAAACTATACACACATTATAATCTTCGCTTCAGAACGCACTCATCTGCAACATTCATATGACCTTATTTTTATTATGTAGTTGCCAGCGCCGTAAAACTTTTACGGAATTAAAAACACAAGTGCAAATAATGAAATACGCTTTCTTACTCCTTTTGTGGGCGACACCCCCGACACAACACTGCACTCACTCTCTCTCTCTCTCTCTCTCTCTCTCTCTCTCTC